TTGCCAAGGGTGGTCTCAAACTCCTGGGTTCAAGTAGTCCACGTGCTTTGGCCTCCCAAAGTGCTGGGATTACAGGCATGAGCCACCACACTCTGCCAACATTTCTTATTTACTCATTTCTTTTCCAGGATTTGAAACTGCAGTAGGCAAAATAATGGTCCCCCAAGACATTCATTTCCTAACCCCCAGGACCTGTGAATATTTACTTTACATGGCAACAGGGACTTTTCTGAGGGGATTAAGTTAATCTCGAAATGTGGAGATTATCCTGGAGGCAATGAAATTATTACAGTTCTTTTAAGAGAAAGAGAACAGGAGAGTCAGAGCCAGAGACTGCTTTGAAGATGCTTTACTGCTGAGTTTGGAGATGGAGGAAGGAGCCAGGAGCCAAGGAATGCTGCTGGCCCCTGGAAGCCTGCAAGGGAAAAGATCTTCCCCTAGAACCTCTAAAGCAACACAGCCCTGCAGACACCTTAACTGACAGTCCAGTGAAACCTGTTTTGAGTTTCTGACCTCTGGAATTGTGGAATAACATACTTGTGTTGTTTTAAGCCACTAAGCTTGTGGTAATTTGTTATAGCAGCACTAGGAAATTAATACACTTACATTCAGGAGATGACACATTCTAATTGACTGATTAACCAGGTAGATTTTACATGTATCTTAGATATTTTTAAAATCTTTAGACATTTGTTAATATCCACACTGCTAATTCCTTTCTATTTACTATAAATTAATCTTGAAAAAAACTTACATTTTCTGCTTCAAGATTATTTTAGACATCACTTACTAAATAATTTAAAACCATTGATGATTAAAAGCTATTGTCATTGTAGCAACTCACTCAAATTCATAGTTCATAGAAATTAAAGGAATTTCTATCTTAGTCATTCATCTCTCCTGCATATTAAATTATGTGGAGCCCAGTATGGGAATCCTAAAGCGTGTATTTGATAAAGGTACCTTGTTCAGTGGAGTCATTTTTACATTCTTCCTTATTCCATACTTTTTTTTTTTGAGATGGAGTTTCACTCTTGTCGCCCAGGCTGGAGTGTAATGGCGCAATCTCGGTTCACTGCAACCTCCGCCTCCCAGGTTCAAGCATTCTCGTTCCTCAGCCTCCTGAATAGCTGGGATTGCAGGTGCCTGCTACCACGCCCAGCTACTTTCTGTATTTTTAGTAGAGACAGGGTTTCACTATGTTGGCCAGCCTGGTCTCAAACTCCTGACCTCAGATGATCTGCCTGCCTCGGCCTCTCAAAGTGCTAGGATTACAGGCATAAGCCATCCCTTTGGGCCTTATTCCATACTTTTAAAATCAACAACTACAATAAGGAAGCAGGGGTTATGTATGCCTGTAATCCCAAAGTGCTGGGATTACAGGTGTGAGCCAGTGCACTCGGCCTTAGTCCATACTTTTAAAAACAACAACTATAATAAGGAAGCAGCGGTTATGTATGCATGATGAGGAGGTAGAAGCAGGACTTTGGGGACAGTCTCATACGATAGCTGGGACTTCAATACTATTGTGAAGAGAGATAGCAAACTAGGAGAAGCAAAAAAAAAAAGGAGGGCTGTATGAACAAGAAGTCTCCTGGCTAAGTCAAGTACTCAAGATTGGCCAAGAAAACGAACGAAGATTCATTAAAGGCAATGAAGACAGTTCACAATTTGAGAAACAGAAGGCCTTAGAGAGTTTAATTATTAATGGGTTATTTTACACCCTCTCTTTTTACACTGAGGCTTGGAATGAAGTGTGCCTGTTACACTTAACAGCACATTTCAATTCAGACAAGCTTCTTTTCAAGAGCTCAAGTGCTGCACAGGACCAGTAGTTAATACATTGGAAAGTGAGGTCTAGCGTCTCTCCCTTCACAGACCTCAGGAAAATCCTCCCCTGAGTATTACTTTACCTCCAGTATCTTTACAAAAGAAAAAAAAAGGCTTTGTGGCATGTTTTCTGGTATTTGAGAATCTGGAGTTATAAACAGGATGCTTGTTGCAGCATTATTCCTCTCACCTGGACTGCCTCCAGGCATTGGGAGGAATTTCTCACTGACAAGTTCTCAGAAGCTGATGAGTAGCCACTGGGTAAAGCCCTAAGTGAGCACCGTCCTCCCGTTTGATTTAGTCTGTGATGTCAGATTTTTCCCAAGCAAGTCCTGTGCTTTGACATTTGATGCATTTCTGAAGTGGACTGCCTGTAATATCTCAAGGAAGGCTTCTAGTTATCTTATTCTTAGACCTTAAACCTTCCCCTACCTCAAACCTTCCCCTTTCAAGCATGAAACCAAAAAAGCAAAGTGTGATGTTGGGTCACTTTTCTTCTACCCACCAAAAGTTTGTGTCCAACCTAGTTGAAAGATTTCTTTCAAGCACAGATGAAATTTCAGCACCACATTATATTCTCATTCAATGAACACAACTCCTCTTGTCACTATTAAATTAGTAGCCAGTAGGCTAACTTCTACATCCTTATAATTGCCTCAGCATTTTTTTTGAAAGAGGCAGAAATATTTCTGCTCAACATTTTAAGACTCCATTTTAGTGAGAGGAATCTTTAAACAGTTGTACCTGACCTTGTCTTTAGGTCCTTTGGTTTACCTAAAACGTCTACACTCTCTTTCACACAGTTTTTCTCCAAACCTATTAGACTTTCTTGTGGTCTAGACCAGAGCTCTTAATCAGAAACACAACTGGGGCCAGGCATGGTGGCACATGTCTGTAATCCCAGCACTTTGGAAGGCCGAGTTGGGCAGATTTCTTGAGGTCAGGAGTTCGAGACCAGCCTGACCAACATGAGGAAACCACATCTCCACTAAAAATACAAAAATTAGCCGGACGTGGTGTCGCGTGCCTATAATCCCAGCTACTTGGGAGGCTGAGGCAGGAGAATCGCTTGAACCCGGGAGGTGGAGGTTGCAGGGAGCTGAGATTTGTACCACTACACTCCAGTCTGGGTGAGAGAGTGAGACTCTGTCTCAAAAAAAAAAAAAAAAAAAAAAGGGAGTCACAAGCATAATTGAAAAATTTCCACTAGTTACACTGAAGAAAGAAAAAAGAAAAAAAGTGGTGAAATTAACGTTAATAATATATTTTATGTAACCCAATACATCTAAATGTATTATTATTTCAACATGTAATCAATATGCAATTATTAATGGGTTATTTTACACCCTCTCTTTTTACACTAAAGCTTGGAATGAAGTGTGCCTTTTACACTTACAGCACATTTCAATTCAGACGAGCTTCTTTTCAAGAGCTGAACAGCTGGACATGACCAGTAGTTAATATTAATACATTGGAAAGTGAGGTCTAGCATCTCTCCCTTCACAGACCTCAGGAAAACCCTCCCCTGAGTATTACTTTATCTCCAGTATCTTTAACTCTCTACTGGATTCTTTTTCTCTGACTTGAAACATGCACAGCACTCCCCTGAAAACTCTTTACTTGAATTGTAACCACTTTATGTTTCATTTCTCAATTTCCTATCCCTGATCAGCTCTTTAAATAAAACGCACGACTTTTTCATTGCATTTGCTGTTGCTGACGCCTCGCTGCTTCCCTGCCTTAGGTGCCTTTTCTTACCCCTGCTGGGTCTGTTCTTGTGTCTCCTTTGCTGATTCATTGTACTCTGAGCCCTAAGAGGAGGAGGTTGGGGAAGCCAACGGTTCCTGTACTTTATAGAGTGCTTCCTCTGGAGGGCTTCTTACAACTTAAATTGCTTTAGCCAGGCATGGTGGCCTGTACCTATAGTCTCAACTACTGGGGGTTGGGGAAGAGGGGGTTGGTGGGGGGAGCCCGGGAGTTCGAGGCTGCAGTGACCTATGATTGTGCCACTGCACTCCAGCCTGGGTGACAGAGCGGAGACCCCCATCTCTAAAAAAATAATAAAATAAAGAAACAAAAACTCGAAACCTAAATTGCAGTGCCCCGCCTCCAGAGTTTCTGATTCTAGACATCTGGGTGAAGGCGAAGAATCTGCATTCCCAGTGAGTTCCCAGGTGAAGACGAAGCTGCTAGTCTGGGGACCACACTTTGAGAACCACTGTGAAGTTCAGTCCTTGGCACCGCTAGCCTTGCTCCCTGCAGGTGCCTGCCCCCCAGCCAGGCTCCCTCTTGCAGCTGTGGGAACCCCGATTCTGTGCAGTGTCCAGGTGGCCTGGGCCTTGGGGTTGACTGGCCCTCACGGTGTCATGGCTGACCTTGTATTAGTGAATCCTGGCACATGGGAAACGAACTACTTCTGGACAGTGACTGGTTCTGACAAATGAGACCTGGGGTTAGGGGGAGTCCAGGAGCTTTTCTTCCTCTGGAAAAGGGACACGAGGCAGGCTTGTTCTCTTCTTGCTTCTGGACACTGTGGCCTGGGGGCATCACCCAGAACTATGGGTTGCCCTGGGCCGCTGGGGGAACAGGTCGCAGAGACCAAGCTGCGCACTAACCTCAGACATGGAGAGGGAAGACAGAAGGGCTCCAGAGCCCTGAGGAGTTCACTGAGCAAGGAAGGAGGCATCCTGAGGCCTCTCTCCTGCAGTACGAGTGACAGGGAGTACACACCTCCTTTGGGTCATTTGGAGCTGAGTTTTCTGGTACTTACTGCAGGAAACCTCCAACACTTCAAAAGCTCCCACCTTTTCCTCCTCCAATTGCTATGCCTGGTTGGCTTTTTTCTGAAGCCTTTTTTCTTTTCTTTTTTTTTTTTTGAGACAGAGTCTTGCTCTGTCGCCCAGGCTGGAGTGCAGTGGCGCCATCTCAGCTCACTGCAAGCTCCACCTCCCGGGTTCAGGGTATTCTCCTGCCTCAGCCTCCCCAGTAGCTGGGACTACAGGCGCCCGCCACCACGCCCAGCTAATTTTTTTTTTTTTGTATTTTTAGTAGAGACGGAGTTTCACCATGTTAGCCAGGATGGTCTCGATCTCCTGACCTCGTGATCCGCCCGTCTCGGCCTCCCAAAGTGCTGGGATTACAGGCTTGAGCCACCGCGTCCGGCCTTAAGCCTTTTTTCAATCCCATTTCTTTCTGTACTGAATTCTCTCCTTCCTCCCTGTCTTTCTTCCTCTGTCAAAGACGAGAGCAGGCCAGTCCCTGACATTTTCAGGACTTAGGGCAGGAATACAAATGAAGGGTCCTGGCCTTCTGCCTCACCCATTTCTCTTCCCACACCTGGATCCAAACCATACTATAAGTAGCATACACAAGGGCACCTGAGACTGTGTCCAGGTTTTGTCCATCACTCCCTCCTCCCAGCAAAACCTCACTTCTTGGCCATCCTTCATCCAAGGAGAGCACACACTGATGTCTGGTCAGCAATGGGAGGGCAGACTTGGAGAACAGCTTTGCAGGCCTTGGAAGGGGGCTCAGGGCCATCTGACTGGTAATTCTACCATCCTAGGTACCTGGAGCATGGCCCACAAGTGGGGCAAGGGGAAGCGTGGGCTTGGGGGTCTGCACACTCATCATGCTGCTGCGAGGGGCATGGACAGAGGAAAGCCACAGTGGGGTCTTCTGACACAGGGCACATGGCAGTGGCTTGGACTGCTCAGGTTTCAGAGGGAACTGGATGCAGGATGCCAACACGACTGACCAGATTCTTTGACTCAGAGTCACATACAGTAAAGGATCCCTTCGTCGTGTATTAACAGGTCATGGGCAACACTTTGATCCTTCCTTGGTACAAGATAGTACAAGATATTACCTTAGGATATTGACTCTCAAAAAGATCTGAAGACTTTTGTTTGAGATTAAAAAACATACAGGATGCACGATCAGGCAGTTACATCTTAGTGGTAAGAATTTTTGTTTGCTACCACTTATAATATCTGCAGTCCTTCTTTTTTGGATTCATTTGCTGAAATAAGTTCCCTAGTTATTCCTTCAGAAAGGACGTCATCGGGTAAACTTTGCCCAATCACTCATCGTTTTTTCACATTAAATTTGAGTTTGAACTGGTACTGGTAACAAACTAGTATTCATTTTCCCTGAGCACTTGGGAGAATTGATCCAATGACTGGTGGCGTGTAGAATGAATCGCGATGAAACGTCTCGTCCTACCTGCTCCTCATTCCCTTGTAAGTAATCTGTGTTCACTTCTCCCTGCAGCCTGGAACCTTTATATATTCATATATTTATTTATATGTAAATATTCTGAACATATACCAAACTGTGTATTTCAGGGAAATTTTCTTTTAATTTGGTCAGGATTTTCCCTCTTTCGTTTTTTGTTCTTTTCTTCTGAAATTCCTATTTGATAGACATTTGAGGTTTGGCTCTATCCATCATTCCTACCTCACTCTTCCCATTCTTTCAATCCCTTTGCTTGTTTTCATGATATTTTTGGGAATCCTTCCAGGACATTTATTCTTTAGTTGTATGCATTTTGCTCTGGACTGACAGCGTGTATCTCCCAGGAATTTTAAAAAGAGTGGCTTAGTCATATTTTATTGAATATTTGAGGACAAAGTGATTATATTTTTTTGGTTGTTATGCTTATCTGAAAATTGTCTTTGCTTTTTTTTCTGTTGACAAGATCTCCTTGGGGTGAGTTAGTTCTTCAGTTTGTTGATTTGATGATTCTTGTAGGTGTTGGTGTTCTCTCAAAGTTCGGTGATTCTCAGTTATCTATTCATACTCATGTTGACGGACTGACTGAAGACTGAAAATTTCCTCAATCCAAATGAGAAATGCTGTTTTCGATTCACGTGCATGTTGATCTCTTCTGTCTGCTTTCTATGATTGTGGGGAGAGCAGGATGGGGGAGACTGCTTTGTTCTGGGGGTGCCAGAGGGGATTTTTCCTTAACTGGAGCGTAGCTTTCTTGGCCTCTCTTGTTACAGTCCTCACTTCAGAACACCCCCTCGGAGGCTCCACCGGAAGCTGGGCCAGTTCCAGCTTCAAAGGCTCCATTTCATTGCCCTCCTCACCCCCAGAGTTCTACTCTGCTTCTCATAAATATAAACCAGCAGAAGAGCTTTTCCTTTGTTGAGAGCACAGCTCCTGGGCCTTGTGAGCCTGAAGGAAAGTGTGCAGCTCCCCGGACTCAAATGTGCATGAGGATGAGGTGCCCAGGCTACCCTGCTCTTCCAAGACCACCTCCTAATTACTGACACACTTGTCCCAGGTCCCTTTCTTGTACAGTTTGCCTCTGAGCTTCTCTCCTAGGCTGTGGTTTGTTGTTATTCTTAATCTTTGAAGGTCCATTCTCTTCTGTGTACTTTGGGCTGTTTTTTTTTTTTTTTTTTTTTAAATGCAATTTTATACTTTATTGGATTACATTTGCCTTATGGTTCTCCGCTTCATATTTTCAGTGTGATTATGGACTGATTCTTTGTTTCCATTGCAAGTACCTTGATATATGCCCTTGTCCCTCACCAAGGCTGTAGGTGTATCTTCTGTGGGATCTCTAGTGTAAGCCCCTTCGGCTCACCTCCAAAACCTAGGCTATCTGCTGTGATAGCCACTGGCCACATGTGACCATTGAGCCCTTGATTTCGAAGACTTTGTACAAAGAAAAGGAATGTAAAAACCTTAATAATAGTGTTAATACCAATTAAAGTTTGAAATTTTAATATTTTGGATGCATTGGCTGAAACATAGTGTTAAAGTTAATTTCATTTCTTTCTTTTTATTTCTATAATGTTGCTACTGGAAAATTTAAAATTGTATACATGGCTTGGGTTATATTTCTATTGCTCTACACTGCCGCAGGCGTCATTCCTAAGATAAAATTAGGAGGAGTGGGTTAAGATGATGAGCTGGATATGTACACACACTCCCTATTTATTCTCAAATCTCAGCATAAAACACAAAAGTGCAAGATAATTTATACTCTTTAAAAAAGTGGCAGTGCAGACAGAAGAATACCAAAGGCAAATTTCTTTGGCAGAATTTATGTGATTTAGGGATCTATTTATCATTAGTGGAAAGGCAGAAAAAGGCCCAGGAAAAAAATTCAATGTTTCCAGCTTGGGAAAATGGGCCAATAGTTGTCATGTTAATGATGTGAGCTGGGAAGCTGTAGAAGGAGAAAAAAGTCTGAGTGAATACGGCAGTGGTGGTGGGAAGATAATGAGTTTGGTTTTGCATTTGCAGTGTTTGAGATGTCCCTGGATTGTCTACATGTTCAATAAATAGATGACAGGGTGAGCAATGCTGGGAAAAGGGCATAAGGCTGGAGGTAAGAGATGGGAATCGTCGCTGGGAGTTGTCGCTGTAGTGGATGAAATCCCAAGGAGCACACAGTGTGAGAGGAGACCTCAGTGCTGGAGCATTGGGAAGTCCACTACTGAAGAGTGGGCTGATGAGGAAGAGCCTTGAAGGAAAAGGGGGTATCAGCAAGAAGAACCTTGATAAACTTCTATACAGGAAGGCCTAATGTAGCAATGTTACAAGGTAGCCACTTAGTGTTTCAGGAGTTACTAGAATATCAGGTGCGCTTTAACCAGCGAAGCATGTTATCAGTCAAGGGTTTTTAAGAGGTGGCGCAAAAACAGGAGAAGGAGAAAGTGCAAACTGTGGACAAAGAGAGTTTGCCCTGGGAACAAGGGAGTCTCACGTTGGTTTTGATTGGGATGAACAAATCTTGCTCTTACTCTTGCATGCTTGTGAAATATTCTACTAAGTTGTAGAGTTTCTGCCGAGAGATCTGCTGTTAGTCTGATGGGCTTCCCTTTGTGGGTAACCCGACCTTTCTCTCTGGCTGCCCTTAAGATTTTTTGCTTCATTTCAACTCTTTGGTGAAATCTGGCGAATTAGGTGCGTCTTGAGTCGCTCTCTCCGAAGCGCGAAGTAGTCCTTTGTGGGGCGTTCTCTGTATTTCCTGCGATTTTGAGATGTTGGCCTGCTAAGCTAGGTTTGGGCGAAAGTTCCTGCCTGGGATGCATATCCCTGACACGCGTTTTTCCAACTTGGTTTCCATTTCCCCACCACTTTTCAGCGCCACCCATCAGACGTAGGATTTGGTCTTTCTTTACTACCATCCCAGTACTTCTTTGCAGGCTTTGTTCATCTTTCTTTTTCTCTTCTTTTTCTCTTTGGTTTACTATTCTGCCTTCATTTCATTCACATTTGATCCCTGAACTCGGCTGATACACCCGCCCTTTCTTCGCAGTTGAACTCGACGTCGGCGTCTTACTGAAGCTTGTGCCATTTGTCACGTATTTCTCGGTCATGGTTTTTCCATTCTGCTTTCATTTCGTTTATGACCCTTTCTAGCACTAATTACTGCTTAGCTATTCATATTTTCTTCCACTTTTTTCTCCTTCAAGCGATTTTTTTAGTTTTCTTTGCGCCTGGGGTACGCGTAATATCGCTTCCTTTAAGCGTCTGGAAGAAGTTTTGGACTGGACTGGAAGCCTTCTTCTCTCAATCCATCGTCAAAGTCATTCTCCGTCCAAGCTTTGATCTGTTGGCTGGCGATGAGCTGCGCTCCTTTGGGCGGGGGAGATGCGCTCTTATTTTTTGAATTTCCAGCTTTCTCGCCCTGCTTTTTCCCCATCTTTGTGTGTTTATCTGCCTCTGTATGCACGGGCAGCAAAAGCCAAAATTGACAAATGGGATCTAATTAAACTAAAGAGCTTCTGCACAGCAGAAAGAAACTAACACTCAGAGTTGAAAGGCAACCTACAGAAATGGGAGAAAATTTTTGCAATCTACTCATCTGACAAAGGGCTAATATCCAGAACCTACAAAGAACTCAAACAAATTTACAAGAAAAAAACAAACAACCCCATCAAAAAGTGGGGCAAAGGATATGAACAGGACATTTCTCACAAACAC